CCCCAAAACCCCAAAACCCCAAAACCCCAAAACCCCATTAAAATCTTAATGAATTGAAAAATATAAAATGTGCCGCTGATGAATGAGGGATAGAAGGCTAAAAAAGAAATGATACAAAGGAAGAACAGCTTGTTTTGTAGCCTATGCTTGACTCTCTTTTCAGTTCGATACCCCTTTTGAAGAAGGTAAAACTGATAGAACTGAGATATTTGAGCAGCTACAAGAGCTGTCAAACTCAAAAACAAACACTAAAATGAACAAAAACCATAAAATTTTAACCATATTTCAAAAAACAAACACCAACGATGCCGGGGAAATATTCCTCCCTCAAACCTCCCAAATCGTCCTCGGAGACTTCAGGTAAGCCCTCTCCCTCATTCTCCCCCAAAAGCACTTCCCAAAAGCCCTCCTAAAACCAGAAATCTCCCCTAAAAATCGACCAATTTCCCTAAATTTTAACCTAAAATTTAGAAAATAAATTTTGCTCAAAAGCAGACGCTGTAATAAAAGATGAAGAGACGTCGTATGGGCACTCTTATCGTTTTGGATCTGAAAAATATTATTCTTATACAGAGTATCTCTCAGCTTATATGGACAGAGCCCTGAAGTTTTTCATCTTACACGCTTTTGAGAGATATTGAGAGGTGTGCAGATATGTCACTGGTGGATTTGTTGATAGGATACCCAACTACAAGACGAATACTTACTTCTACATGCATAAATCTGAGTTGTATGAATACCAAACCTCTTCATATAAGATTGCCCTTTACAAATGTAAAGAACTTAAAGAACAAAATTATGAGCTCATAGTAACACCAGAACAGCTGGAGTTCATCAAAGCATATCTGAAAGAGAAAATGGATGATTTTATAATTAATAAAGGATGATTTGAGGTCAAAGAACTTAAGGCTATGCTCGATGAACTAGAGAACCAAGATGAATACTCTAATTTCAAGTCTTATGATCAGCTAGATCAAGTAGATCTCCTTGAAGGAGAAGTAAGCCACGAAGTGAAAATCCTCTTTGAGAAACTTCTCGATGTTAACTTTCCTGACCATTTACTATATCTTTACAGCAGAAAAATGCAGATTTCAGAAGAAGAATCTTTCATAATCTTCATTGAGTACCTCAAATTTCTTATCCTAAAATACCTAAACCCTGACGCAGACATCGTCCCTAGCTTCAGAATCGACCAATTCTGGAGGGATCATTTCGTCCTGACCAAAAACTACCGCGACATATCTCTCAACATATTTGAATCTGAAAGTATTGTTCTCTACTCTCAGACTACATCGTCAGATTTTCCTCAGAATTATGAAAAGATCCTTGATCTGTACCAGGAGACTTTCGGGTGTGCCCCTCATAAGTATGTTTGGGGATCTGCTCCTGATGAACAAAGTTTTTATGACCAGGATTTCTTGTACGTTAATACTTTGAGATTAGCTGTTTATACGGTGTATGAGGAGAATGCCACTGGAGTTTTTGGGGAAGGATCAGTGGTAGCGAAGGAATGTTGGGATTTACCCCTATCCACATTCCATTCCTCTCCTTCCAAAGCAACCATTCTGCACGTCCCTTCCGCAGCCCTGCTTGACCGTCACGCCCGGAACCGTACAGAGCCTTCCCCTTGGAAGGATCTGTACGAGCCTTGTGAGTGACCACCACAAGTGTTTTGTAAAGGCTCGCCAAAATTTTTGGATTTGCCAGTGATCAATGGAAAAGAAGGAGCAGTGATCGATGTTGGGTCTAAAATATGCTACCCTTTAAAATGACACTTGAAGGCAAAGAAATATGCACCAGATCAGCCAGTGGTCGACGTAGAGATGCAACTAGACCTAGATGACTTAGCAAATGATGCATGCGAAGGAGTACACCTCCTCAAGGATAATGGACTGAGATCAAAAGACATGGATAAGGCAATGGGGTATCTGAGATCTGGGAGAGATAGCATCCATGATATCAAGGATGAGTATGTGTGGAAATATGGAAAGCAGATCTTTAAAAAGTATATGTAGAAGAGTTTAAACAGAGTCAAGAGAAAGTTAAAAGAAAGAGATTCTTAATGAATCACTACAAATAACCTTTTTCAATTTCAAAATAGGCAAAAGGGGTTTTGGGGTTTTGGGGTTTTGGGG